CACAGTGACACACACACACACACATACATACACACACACACATACACACACACACACACACACACATACACACACACACACACACACACACACACACACACACACACACACACAGTACCTGTAACAATGGACCGCTGATGGACACAGCCTTGGTTTCGCTGACATACGGGTAGGTGGTAACTAGAGCTGTGGGCGAGCACAGCAATACGGAGTACTGATAACCCTGACGTGGTGTGGAGAAGAAACAATACATGCCCGCCAGCCAGCGATTGTCATCAACCACATCCTCGTCATCATCCTCAGCATCACCAATACTACCAGCCAGTCGAGGATCCGTCATGCGACCACCTGATATAGAATCTACTGCCACACGACCTGATCAGAGAAGCAACACATACATATACACACACATTGGAATAAGGATGTCTATATGTCTGAAAGCAATAGCTCAGGCAATGGCTGTTGTTTCACTAAACTAAAGCTCTTTGGAACCATCTCAGAAATTCAATCTCAGAATACCAGAGCTGGCCTTTGTGCCATTAACACGCTCCATAATAGTATCCATATGAAGCTGTGTTATCAGCATAGCAGTACCACCAAAAGGGTACGAAGTGTAATTTTCACTTCTAGAAAAAGTTAGTCTCTCGACTCTAGCTCATATTGGCACTGGTCATGCCTACAAACATCCATGTATTAAAACCGGTGCCCACTGTGCAAGCAACAGCAACATATTCATGAATCGAAAGCAGCGTAAATTTCCAAACACACACACACACACACACACACGCGCACACACACACACACACACACAGAACAATAAGCCCAGGGAAAGCTGCAGATAGACAGGACAGTGGAGTGAGTGTGCGTACAAAGAGTCTACAGTGTACTTACGTTCGTCATAGACAGGAAGCAGTTGTAATGAGTGGAGACCATCTCGCACTTCGTCGGCACTGAACTGTCGGTATAGGAGTGTTGTGATGCCTCCCTTGCGGATACGAGCTGCACTATCTCCAGCAGTGCTTGACGAATCCGAAGACGAGAACGAAGCAGCCATTTCCACTTCAACGGGTCTCCCCCATACGGTTCGCACTGGTCCTAGAACTTCACGCGCTCTCTCGGTCTCGTCGCGTTTACCCGTCTCGCTCCTGGTCGCCGTCAGCTCAATCACGTTGTCGGTGTCCACCATGGCAGCGGCACTCCTCCACACCTGCATGGCTGTATCGGCATCAGCGCCTCTAGCCCGCGCCTGCTGACTCAGCGCCGGCGGTATCAGCGTGACGGCCAGGGCCGTTGCCACGTCGATGTACATGACGCGCACGTCACGCGCCGACATCACGGCAAGGTAGTTCTCGCACAGAGCCACGCTGGTCACCGTGCACCCTACGTCCACGTCCAGCAGGTGCTCAACGGAATACGACTGGCTGGACGATAAGCCACGCAGGCCCAGCACAAACACACGCACTTTAGTGCCACCGCCGACAGCCATGCTACCAGTGCGAGGACAGCAGCTGATACACGACGCATGACCAGGGCACGGCAGCTCCACCACCGACAAACGAGCCGCCTGGCCCGACATGCCAAGGTCACCGTATGACGACGGGCTTACAGGTATACCTTCGGGTCCACCGGCCAGCAGTATGCGCGCTGCCTGCTTCAAGTTCCCGTGCTTCCAATTGAAATAGACTCTGGCGGCGGTCACGTTCTTGCGCTTTTGCCGGTGTTTCTCGAGTGTAGCAATGCAGTCTACACGAGTATTGTGCGCCATGGAGATGACTGGTGACACAGTTTGAAACTTGTACGACACTGTGCTGCAGTCAGTACTGCTATCACCACCGTCCAGATCATCCTCCAGGCCTGATAGTAATGGATGGACTTCTATCTGACAGCGAGCAGTGGCTATGAACAACCACTCATCGCTGCACGCCAGGGCCACTGGCTCTCCATCGCTGGAGAAGACAGCCTGGCCTTTGAACTGTTGCGCACGAAACAAACGAACCATCCCTGCAGACCAATTCTTTCTCCTGCTAGTATCGGACATGCAGTCCTCTGTGACGCTGCTCCGCTGCTTCTGCTACATTCAAATTCACTCACGCTGGATAGGCAGGCCTGAAAACATGACTGTACACCGGCAACTGATTGCAAAACATCCAGCTGTGCAGCTATACGTTGTTCTTGATTGCAGGAAAGTACGTGGCAGAGGCTGGTTCCCCAACCATAATCACTACTATGAAGAGGCTGAAAACAATTTCTGATGCTATTTTCAACAGCAAATGAGACTCCAACGCACAATAGCTAGCGCAAGATATAACAGGCTTCGGAAAGTTAGTTGAAGGCTGTACTGGCAAAGAAACTGTCGGCTTCGCTGCTACCACACTTTGAGTCACATGCACAGAGTGCTGCTGCTGGGCGAGAAATCAAAGCAGTCCAAAAAAAAAACAAGGCGAAAACAAACTCCAGCTGCCAAAAGAGTCACCACGCTCAGCTCAAGGGCTTAGTTCGTTTCCGTGGTGACGATCGTTAAAAAAATTGTATCATGCATGGTTACCGCGACGACTTTTTTGAAGCCCTGGCGACGCGACTCTCATCGATGCATCTCGAGTCGACACAGTTCAGTTCGGCATCCGTGACCCCCATGAACCGTGTGAACTCTTGCTATTAGGGAGGTTTCGCTCTACGTAATTACGTATGAAAATCCGTATGTCGTACGCGCCGGGGAGCGAGGGCAACTTTCATACGTAAATCTCTCTACGGATTTCCGTAGGAAAGCTCTTTCCTACGTTGGGTCCTCCGTAGGACTTTTTGAAATATTTTTTCGCATTTTCCGCATTTGTCCATGGCATGCAACATTCAAGCCGCGCGAAACACAAGGTACACACACCGTACACCTGGTACACCACGTGCAAAATATAATGGAAAACGCGGTTTCGGTTCATGGTGCATGCGGTGGGCGCATGCAGCCAAAACGTCTCCAATTGCCAAAGCAACAATGCATGTTTAGCAGTCGCGGAGAAATCACGTAGAGCGAAACCCAACAGCTCTGAGTTTTACGTATGAAAATTCCGTGCAGTTCCTACGTTATTTTCATACGTAATTCCGTAGAGCGAAACCTCGCTAATATCAAGAGTACATATGTACTCTTGCTATTATTTATGGAGTGTGAGTCTGACGGTTGTATCCGCGGACATACCACTGCGCGGACGCTGACCTTGGCCCGGAGCCTAAGAAATTACAACTCCACTGATGGAGAGGGCTTAGTTGTTTACCGTACAACCTTACTTGACTCGGAGGAAGAGTGGTGACTACATGTAGTTACCCTGGTGCTTTCAACCCGAGGCTTCCATGCTGCCAGTGTCACAGTACACTGTGATTTAAACTGGCGTAGCCCTATTACAGGTCTTACCTAGTACCTGCGGCTTACATTGAAGCTAACGACCGTGAAAAGCTGTTTACTGACAATAGCAGCACAATACTTTCAGATCCAATAAAATTCAATCATCATTCAAGGATAACATTGCCGGTAATGTCACTATAGAGAAAGATGACATGAGTTAGTGTTTGTAAAAGTGAAATGCAGCCGTGAGCATTGACTGAAGAGCGCTTGCTTGAAACCAGAACCTCCTACTGAATCAAGTTTGCAATAAATAGAGCTACGCCGGGCTACACCATGAGGCATTGATGGTGAAGGAGTGCACAGTAGAGACCGGGATATGGCATCATGATTCTGAATCATTGAAGTTCGGAAGTGCCGGAATATTATGGCAAATCAAGGCTCCGGCAGTTCACACACACATACATACACACACACACACACACACACACACACACAGCGGCAGCCGGGCAGCAGCATGCAAGAAACGTGACCCGCTTCAAATCTCATCATCCTTCAGCTTAGAATATGTACAGAAGATAACTGCTACCGATTACAGTCGACTGAGGTCAGACTGACTCTTCACATCAGTCTCTGAACCGGGTCGCCCATGACAGGAAATCTTTGAAGGGAGCCACCAAGCAAGGCCTTGAAGTACACTGCACTAGTGGGGCTCGGCATTCTGTGTGGCATTGGTCACCCAGCATGATGACAGCCGACTGAGCAGACACTAGACAGGGCTGCAAGGCGTTATGTACACTGTAGTTGTGCGGCCCGGCACAGTCCCAATGACATCACACTGTACTGGTGCAAGTGGACGATTGGCCATTTCCGGATGCCGGAGAAGTCGCCAAAATCCTGAGAAAGGCCTGGCAACTTCAGCAGTTAACACTGCCAGGGAATTATTAGGAATACGCGGCACAAAGTTCAAATTGACAGTCAAGGCCACTGAGTGTTCGCGCCATTCATGACTCCATCAGCAGGCACCGGCGATCACGCCTTGCAGTGACTCCGCCATAGCGCTCAGAGTGGAGCAGTACGTCACAAGAATAGAGTGGGATTGCACAAGATTGGGCTTGTCTTGACGACGGGCCATCACCTGCCGGCAAAGCAAGAGCCGCGTATCACAACAAAGACGACCATGGTCAGCTTCAGACAATTGTATCATCAGCTATGCTATAATAATGTTGCCATGCATATGTACCCACAATGAACTATAAATCCGAGCAGAGTATCATATGCCTTACATTCTGTTGCCGGACTCTAAGTTGTTACACAGTCTGTGACTTGCACAAGGCCCGATATCTATGCAGTGTCTAGTAGTAGTAGTAGTAGTAGAATTTATTATTTTGCTAGGGAACTCCCAACAGGCATTGCCTTTTTACTGGGAGCCCGCCTAGGAATGACTCGGTGATTGTAACAAATGCAGAAAGGAGCTTAGCTTGACGACATCCAGGTGGAAGCATGTTCCATCTGTCTGCTGCCAAAAATAAAATAGCATTCAGGCCGTAACGAGACGTAGCTCTGGGTAGGTTCAGAGCGGCTGAAGCTTGACGGTGGGTAGCAGCATTAATGCGGCATGATGCAGAGCGGGTGGTAAATATCGTGCTTAAAAGAGGACTGGTGCAACGAGATAGACACCTAAAAACGTCTAAAAGGCGGAGCCTGCACCCAGCCTGTGAGATGTACGGCGTATGCCATGGTAAACTTGAAAGTACACAATTGTAGAGTTTCACGTGCACCGATGTACGTCCTTGCAAAGTGACTAATGTTATCTCACCTGCTGAACTGTATCCCGGGCTAACGTGACAGCAGCTCTCTCAGTCTCAGCCGGTGATGTTCCAGTCATAATTGAAAGCTGCAAATACAGATCAGAGTGGGAGACAAACATGCCTCATGAGTCATCATTGCGACAAGCTAGTTTGTTTGATGTGTTTCAGTCTAGGAGGATTGTAAAGTTAGCCAGGCACCATTACAGACAGGTGCATGTGCAGAGGGGTGGTTGTGGACTTGCGGGACATGTGTTCATGTACTTACATGTAACTGCCCCAGAAGTGAGAGAGACCGAGAGAGGCAGAAAGACTCGGTAGAAAGAAGCAGAGACAGAAAAGAGAAGAAAAAAGGAGAGAGCAGAGACAGACGGAGACAGAGACGAAAGAGAGATGGGATATTTAGAACCGACTACAGCACAGGATGGGTGCCGGTGCAGGCATGAGTTAGGGAGCCATTATATATGAAAGGGGAGAGTACACTTTCAAGTTTCAGCAGTTCCTCAGTTGACAACTTACTTTACGCATGGAGTGCTGTGCAAGATGTCTGCCTTTCTGCAGCAGTCTCTTGATGACGGGAAGGTGTGTTCGCTTGGCCAGTGTATTGGCTGCAGAGCCGCTGTGTTCCTCCAGTCTTGCTCTGTGATTGGCCAGCAACACCGGTATCTCCTCCGTGGTCATGTGACGAAGTATGCCAGCAAGGTAGAGAGACTGTTTCTTGTAGTCGACCTGTAAGGACAATGCAAGACAAAAGTTTACTTTTGACTGTAATAAAGCTACCCGCCACGCAGTCACGTAGGAGATACTGCATGTGACTATGGCCTCAGAAGGAATGTTCTCCATCAACAGCATCCACTTCGTATGAGTAGTCACTGCCCAATACAAAGATTATTCATTACATTGCTTGTGAACCAGGGCATAGGCCTTGAGGAACACATGTTACTTCATTCTACGTTGCATGCTGACGACAAGGTTTCCAGGGGCACCTGCTGCGTAGCTATATGTACTGGTAGCTAAGAAAGATTCAAATATCGGAATGCCATGCAGAAATGGCAGAATGTACGTGACCAGTGCTGTCTCAAACAAACACGTCCGCACGTACCATAGGATTCTCTCCTCCGCCAGTAACATGAACCTTCAGGAGAGGCGAGGGTTTCTTCGATATGCTCAGGCGAGACAAGCCGAGGAACAAATGCTCCGCGAGCGACCTAGCCGGGGCCTGTATGCACACAAAGAAAACAGCAAAACAAGACACCATTACAACCGTTGAACTAGCTGGGTGACAAATGAAAGTCAGACTGCCATGCATTGGAAGGATAGTCCACCTCTCCTCACGAGGGGATCAAAATTGGTTGGCGGCACTACAAGTCTAAAAACCTACGTTGTACCCTAGAATTGCATGCCACGAGAATGAAACGACAGGAATGGTACATGTACAATGTAACTCACTTGATACGCTCTGATAGTACATACACTTGCATAGTGCAGACATGGCCCAGGGCACGGGTGTTTGCGCCATACTGAAGTATGTCCGGATTAGAAGTACCTCGGATACTAAGTACATTGTACACCTTTCTCTTCCCCAGAGGAGTACGTGTTATCCGAGTTCTACATTGCCTATATTATGTACTTAAATAATAATTATTATTATGACTGTAACATTGCGTTGAGATACAGCACAAAAGGCGAAACCACCAATACCGTGACGAAGCTTACCTCTACGTTTGAGAAAGAGTCGAGAAGCGAGCAGGCGACCGGCTTCTGCGCGAACACCTCGCTGTAAAGTTTACCCAGTGACTTGCACATACTGCCTGTCGACGATCCTGCTGCCGCATCTGAGCGGCGTGACCGGCCGGAGTGGCCCGGAAGGCCGTCATCGTTCTGCCTTCTCGGATGCAATGCTGCAGATGGCGACGCACTAGAAGATCTTAGCTGCGCAAACATCACCATTGCCAATGCAAATGCAGACAGAAGTTGTCTGGAGGAGGAGGGTACATTCACTGCCATCTTGTTTTCCGGCCGGGAGCGACAAAACTTCAAAAGACTGCTTAGCTCTTTTCCTGGAGGGCTGAGGGATTGTGTCGTCTTTTCCGCCTGTCGATCAACTATTTATCCGCTTTCCTCGGTGATTGCAGCAGGCTGTCTTGTACAGGTAACGCAAACAAAACGCACTGTCCATTGATAGCGAAACAAAGTTCTTCGTACCCATGGCGCACTTCCTCGGAACCCACAGGTGAACGACGAACTTCGCGGTGATTAGTCGGCAATTTCCCAGCACCGACGCCAGACACGGATTTCTCTCTACTTTTCTGGACGAGGGTTACCCGGGAACCGAATGGGTAGCTGCCTAGTGACCAGTAGTGGCAGTACTAGGAGTATGCATGTGGTATGTACATATTGTAGTGTCGTTTCAGTTCAGGCCAAGTGTGACCCTGCACGAGCCACTTATCATGTCCAGCACCGCTGCGTGATGATAGCTAAACCGTAGACCGATGCCATGGTATATCTTGGGTCAAACCGAAGTGACGCGCCGTTTCCTGTGTTTTCTACGTGACTGCATACGACTCCGAGTACTGATGAAAACATACTCTTCACGTGACTACATGGGCCACAAGGCACCATGTCCACGAAGCAGATCTACGTTCTTGTTAGGTCATGGTTTACATCTCATGGTTGTCCAAACTGGGTTGGGTGCATTGGGGTTACATGCGAAGGAAACCTGCTGCCGGGAATGTTGTGAAGACCATGCAGTTCTTAGCACGAACGGGCTCGAGCATGCACTTCAACATTACAACTGTAGTTAGCCACTACTACGATGTAAGTTACCCAGTAGATCTACCTTCTGTAGTATGGATTCGCAGGTGCTTGCAATGTTACGTAACAAGAGGCCATAGTGATTATGTAGCTAATATGAGGGCGAGCACTCACAGACACAGACACAGACACACACACACACACACCTCAGACCTCAGACCTCAGACCTGCCCATCGCGGAAACGAGGATAGCGAACAGCTATGTTAGACATAGCAACTTGTGCTGGGATTACACCACACACACACACACACACACACACACACACACACACACACACACACACACACACACACACACACACATGCGCGCGCGTCTTGACCTTGACCAGTTATACACGTTGCCTTGGTAGGTTACACACAATGTAGTTCCCGTCAGGGGAGAGGGGTGGAAGGGCCAAGACTCGGAGGAAGACACACACACACACACACATACCGGTACACACACACACGCACACACACGCGCGCATGATTTGCACTTTCGCAAGCCACGGATCGGACTGTACAGCCATACCAGTCTACATGTACATGTACTACCATCAACTGACTCAACCAAAAGTACTGGTGATGTGCTGCATTCTCACTCACTCTTTGCATGATGACATAAGCCAATTGAAATTCTAGTGACGGATAAGTGCTAAGCGTGTTGTTCTATCATGATTATTACTGCTAACACTCTCAAACTTCATACACTACACTGGTAACAATGCTGGCAGCAGTACATGTATGGAGACCAGACATAGTCACCAACAGTCAACACTGGGCAACAGTATAACCTCAGTCCTGGCATCCACAAGCCACTTCTTCAGCTATCGCTAATAGCAGTGCTGGTACTGACAAAACCATTTCACCGGAAGCTGGGCGCGCGATACAGATGACAGGTTTTCACTTGTATTATTTTTGCATGGGTCTACAATGATTATGTACATGCACGGGGAAACTGCCTACACGCCATAATGGCCATGGCATAGGCCCGGCCATAGACATGAATGATGGCCCTTGTTTCAACTACATACTGACTGCATAGCCATGTAGACTCTACACTTACAAGTACATGTGCACAATTAATTATTGTATTCACAGGGGGTCTATTCCTCAGCCTGCGCATAGTGCTCTGTTTCACGTGGACAAAGCCAGTACGCATTGAGGGACTTGGTTGTGTCACTGTTGTAGGAGTAAAGTCTATCTGTCTGTTGCCATTTCTCTGAAATTGTACTTGTACCCGGTACATGACCATACTTCCAGTTCTCATACCTGCTTTGTGTAAGCTTTGTTTTCCCTTCCCTTCCCCTCCCCCACCACTTTTCGCGGGTAGAAATGGTCGGATAATCTTCCCCGTTGCTGGACTGTTATCAGTTGTCTAATGATTACCGTGACATCGTACATACTAGTACCTAGTACATCCATTGGAAGACAATCTGAGTAGCAACTCTCGAAACTCTGCACTTGCAGTGGTCGAATTATTCCAATGTAACAGTGTCAAGTAGTCTTTGGGTAAACGTTCCGTACCATTACAGTTAGTATAGGCGCCCAAGACCCAATCGGCAATCCCTTCCTACGTAGTTCTACTCCTCGTGGTTGATCAGGTCTTCCTCGATGGTATCCCAGTATGCACGTTTCGCTGATCCTTCATGTACATGTAGATTGTGTTATAGAAGATCTTATCAACCAGTATCTGTAGTGATCGCCGAGAGAGCGATGTGGCATTTACCGACAGGAACCCGTTCGCAATAACAGTGGAAGCGAAGTCATTCTACATGACTACTAGTATAATAAGACAGACACTGAGCCCTCAGCATAGCACGGTCAAAAGACACCGAAGCACAACGAGCGTCGTCCGGACTCTTGCTACAGCTTACTAACGACGATGCGTGGTGCGCTGTGTCTGCAGCAGGGTTTGTAACTTGATACCTGAAAACTCTCGCCACTTGTGTGATTTTGCTTTTCTTCCGATTATAACTTTACCCTTGTTGCAAACGCCTCCTCCATTCCCGGTACAAGCTCTCAGCTGCACAAAATGAATTATAAGAAGAGCTGCCAATATTTCGCCTATTGGGCATCATCAGGGCAATGAGAGCCTGTGCCGAAAATGGAGGTGTTTACAAGTGGAAAGAAAACGTTGCAATGGAGTTGGAGAGTTCTTAGAAAACGTTACACCCCAGTCTTTTTTTGTGTTGCTTTTGCCCGCAAAAGAGGTCTCCCACATTAGGCATGTACATGTATTGTATTCTCCCGAATCATCGCAGTGGTGGGTTTCGTCGTGTATTCCTCGCTCGTTCTTGGATGGTGATAGAACACATGTTGTTGGTTGACAGCATGTTACAAGGCGGAGGACACATGACTGACAGTACAATGACAAAAACAAGAAGACCGTTGAAACAATTCCAATTATTTCCATAACTCTAATAGAACCTTCCAAGTTGGAAGGCTGTTGGAGTGCGCATCCAAGATGTGCTTGAGCTGTTAGCCAGTTAGTTGTAGAACGTCAGTACCGTCGGTCAGTGTCGTGCAATGTTATCGCATGAGCTGGTTATTTAGTAACCATGGTAACTGGTGGTATTAGTGGACATTATAGCGTAACTTGTAGTTCCTTGGTCCATTTTTTCTTCTACAAACAATTCCTCGTATAATGATGGTCAGAACCAGGGCTATCATCCATACGGTTCAAATGGTCGCACGACCGGGGCTCTGCCAACCGTGGAAGTTGTAGTAAGGTCACTGTTTCCGAACACAGTGCGTCCTCCGCTTTGTTACATGCAGCGCTGTCAACCAACAAAACAAGGCGCATCTATATCACCCAATCACGGTACACGTACCTGTACAGTGTATGTGCATGTCCGTGTATGGAACTGGAAGGACAAACACTGTAAGTTACTTGCAAGATCAAGGCAGTAAGTAGTACAGGCATGTCGATGGTTATGTGTTCTTGATGTTTGGTATTGCAGTTGCCGCTCCACCTTCTTACCACTATTGTTTGCCCGCAGGCCCGGCGGAACCGGTCCGGTTGGTCAGGCCATGGCCGGACCAACTTTTTGGCCACCATGTGTGTTACTGGTGAGGAGGTCATGGTATGATACAGTATACCCTCCGTACGTATCCTACTCAAACTGTATGAAAGGCTACTAGGCTAGGGTATGGCCGGCCCAATCAAAAACTGCTTCCGCCGGTCCTGTGCCCTCAGTGGCCTTGGGACATAGTATTGCTTCAACAGGAGGTCCAAGACTGTGGCAAGATATCCAGGCGAGGACGCTTCAACTCACGCATCCCGTCATTCCTTTCTTCCATTCTGCCATTGTGAACTTCTTACTTCAACATGCGGTCCAAGACTGCGGAAGACATTCAGGCCAGAACATGAACTAGCACAGCCCAGCATCATCCCTACCTCCCTTCCACTAAGTTTTTCCATAGCCAACTTCTGACTTCAACAGGCCGTTAGTCCAAAACTACAAGTGGGAAGATAATTATCCACATCAGGACGACATGACTCAAAACTGGGTTCTTCCGGGAACTAACTTGATTGAATGACAGCGCCAGGCAAAGAACTGTTGCTTATAGTTATACCAAAATCTTGGAGCGCAACTGTCGCACTGTGAGGTGTGAATACTGAAGAATCTCACTGCATTCGCAACTTCTCAACACTGGAACACTCTGATATGTTTTGAGCATTGTATTGAATAATATTTTGTATGATTGAGACATAGTATAGTACCTGCCTTGCTGGTGGCGTTGACGTTACACAAATCCTAGACTACATTGTAAGTCGTCACAGTACGCCAGTGCAGGTGCTATCAAGAGTACGTAACCCCACTTGGTGCTATTCTATCGCTACAATAGGAAGAGAGATTCGAAGGCAGGCAATGCTGTATCATGACAAATCATCACCTGTGCCTGTCATACATGACTATCGACCTACGTGTACGTGCATGCTAATATTCGGATTGGTCACATGATGTCTCCACCTACATTGTATATGGGCGTGACATTAGCCATGTAGCCATGTACATGTCAGTGCGCCATTGTCTTCTCCCATGGCGCCTGTACTAGCAATTATTTGAAGTGTGGAAGAGTGTAGTCGGCACCATTTACAGAAGGGATGACGTTACCTAACCTACCCGTGTGCTAAATACGGTAACGCCGGGACACAAAGCGAATATTCTATCGATGAAAATGTTCCAGGATGTACGAAGCTAAAATGATATCCATAACACTCGTCCCATTGCACTCCTACCTTTGGCAATCGTCCCATGGCACTCCTACCTTTGGCAATCATCCCATGGCACTCCTACCTTTGGCAATCGTCCCATGGCACTCCTACCTTTGGCAATCGTCCCATGGCACTCCTACCTTTGGCAATCATCCCATGGCACTCCTACCTTTGGCAATCATCCCATGGCACTCCTACCTTTGGCAATCGTCCCATGGCACTCCTACCTTTGGCAATCGTCCCATGGCACTCCTACCTTTGGCAATCGTCCCATGGCACTCCTACCTTTGGCAATCGTCCCATGGCACTCCTACCTTTGGCAATCATCCCATGGCACTCCTACCTTTGG